GTATGAGTCACTGGGAAGGTTTACGAAGTCACTAAGATGATCCACAACAGGTGTCTACAGCTGTTTTAAGAATAAGTACTGCTCCTCTCAGATATCCAACTGCATCGGGTCAATTTGTAGTTGCCAGACAGTCCCAGCTGGTATGCTCTGGGTCATTGGCGCCAAGGTTGTGCCGCCCAAGGCTTCTCTTAGCCAGTGATTAAGTGTGGCAGGCATCCTGAGGAATGCTTGTTCCTGGGAAACACGGGTTCTTCTGATGTGTGATTTGGCTCAAGGTCTCCCTGTTAGCCTTGAAAAGACTTTCTGAGACCTTCAGTGCAGTGTGAGCATTTTCTACCTTTCCTCCCTCCTCTTCAAACCCTACCCGACAGTGCAACGGCCCTCTGCAGCCTCCGCTAGTGCTCACTCCACTTTCTCTGTAGACATTTTCTCTAATAAATCTCCTTCACTCTTCATTCTCTCTTGGCTTCTCCCTCCTGGGGGGACCCAGCATAGCACAAGTACTGACATAATTTTACCTCCTCACATTAAAATGCTCAAGTGTATTTATTAAAATTGTATCGTCATGGGAATAACAAGCTGTTATTAATTTGGGTAAATGGGAGTAAAGAGCGGAGTTACTAACTTGAGAGTGTAAGACTCATTCATTTCATGTTTCATTCTCTAGTACATTTATGACAATTTTTATTCAAATCACAGTGTGGTCTTTCTCAACGGCGAGCTCCGGTCCGCTTCTTTACTGAATGTGAGAAGTTCGTTGAAGTTGGACGTTGCTGCTACTCTGTAGTTGGCCTTCCTATCTCTACTTAGCTTGGTGGAGGGTTCAGAAGATTGCATGACCTCTTCTCAGGTTCTTGGCTCATGTTTAAAGCATTGACAGCAGGATGCGGCGAAGGGGCTGCCCATGTATGCACTTGGGCCAAGTAATGTAATGGACACCTATGAAACTTACCACTCCATCTGAGACTAGAAAATAGACAAAGAAATCAAAGAAATGCTTCTTCATTCATTGTACCATTCAAATGCAAAACTGGCATTTTTATTGCTCTCTTGGCTTATATGTGGGATTTTTTTTTTTTTTTTGTAAAAGTAGAGTATCTACCTCTTCTCTACTGAATACTGACTCCAATGATATAGGTCAATGGAAGAAATTCTTTTCAAAATGGAAGCTGAGTAGGGAACAAAATATTTTGCAAGTAGAAAACACAGGAAGGAAGTAGTCTTAAAAAAAGGAATAGAGAATGGTACTTTTATCAGTAAACTAGTCAACACTGAAGACCTTCTTTTGTTACCCATTGGGTGGTTAACTACATATATTAGGTGAGGTTGTCTCCTTGGGTTGATTCATTGATTTAAGTACCAAATATAACAGAGATGTATCCTATGGAGAGGGGATAGGGTTTCTGCTACTGAAAAATAGTTGTAAGGTCAATACTTATCAAAAAGTTCCAGCAGACCTTGATCATTAGACAATAGAGAAAAATAAACTGATGCCAAATCTCAGTTTCCTGTTATAGGAATACAGACTGAGTGGTATAGTCAAATACATAAAAGACGTTGGGTTATTTCTGTGATAATGCGAACAACTGGGGAAGCACTAGTATTTGTGAAGGCAAATCTCTATTCAAGAGCCTAATGATACAGAGAACATAGAGGAGATATTGATTCAAGTAAGAAAAGGCCTTTATACAAATATTTACCTTGAACTAGAAATGTTAATGATAATGGAGGAGTAGTTACCAAAACATCAGGGAGTAGTAGCACCTGAGAATCTTGGAGTTCTGAATATTATCATTATTTATTTGGTGATTTCTCCAAGTACCGGGAAAAATAGCTGGAAATAGTTACTGTGTTTAGGGAAAGTGGTAAAGAGCATACCAAGGAGACTGACAGATGGATGGAAGTCCTCTGATACCAGCTGGCCTCATGTTTAAGACCAAAGCTTATTAAGACTATCAAATAAAGAGGAGTTCAGGAGTTTTACAGCTCATGTGGTCCTTTCGGAAATGTTTCCCAGAATAGGAGGTAACATCATAGGCCTTCTTGGGGAAAAATACTAGTTGGCAATCTTTATCTGATGTCCGCTCGGGCATTCCTTCTTTCTTTATTTTAAAGAAGTATTTCTTTTTATTATACTTTATTTATTTATTTAAATTTGGCCAGAAAGGGACAGAGTGAGAGAGAGACAGAAAGAGGGAAAGTGAGAAAGCAAGCCACCAGGTCAAGGACTTGAACTGTGGTCGGTCATGTGGGAGTCCAGTGCTCTTAACCACCATGCCACCTGCTGGTCCCGGACATTCCTTCTTTCAGTAAATATTGAAAACCTGCTAGATAGTAAACTTAGTCAAAAGACATAGTGAAATGAGCATCAGGTTTTATTTTTTCTAGAACACTGGTAGAAACAAGATGAGGTAAATTGTCTTCGCTGGCATCTATTTAGAGGGGCTACAATCAGGGACTAACGGGGAGATATGATGAACCTGGACACGTCAGGTAGCTCCACATTCTTCAGAGATTGTGAACCATGTTAAGGGTTTTGGGCGTATCACATTTTATTCCATGGGAGTCACTGAAGGATTTTAATTTGAGTTTATTAAAATCTTTTTTCAAAGTAATACATGCAGAAAGTAAAAAATTAAATAGTACAGAAGGACTTAAAATGAAAACACTATTTCTCCATCTCACATTTTTTTTTTTTAACCCTAGTCCTATTCCCTAC